AGGAAGAAGTAACCTCTGGTCCCAAAATAAAGAGGAGGAGATTTAGCCAAAGAAGAAATTTGATAAGTCCAAAATAAAATGTTAAAACTGTGGGAAAATGGTACATTTTGCTTCAGAATGTCACTCAGAAGCAAAGGAAAAAATGGCCAATGTTACTCATGAACTGGAAGAATATGAGGAATACTGAAAGATCATAGTGACAGGATGATGATCAAGGTGGACATACAGCCTAACAAGCTATTCATAGCAGATTTGAAGATTGCTGAAAAAAATTGTTTGCTAACCAGGATGACTGATCAAGCATGGGTATGACATGCAAGGTATGGGCATTTAAATTTTCAATCTTTAAAAATGCTTTCAAGCAAGAAGATGGTGGAAGGACTACCACAAATTTCTCATGTAAATCAAGTGTGTGAAGGGTGCATGGCGAGCAAGCAACACAGATCATCATATCCATAGATGACAAAGTTTAGAGCTCAAGAAAGACTTGAACTTGTCCATGGGGACTTGTGTGGTCCTATCTCACCCTCTACTCCAGGGAACAATAGGTACTTTATGCTTCTTGTAGATGATTCCACATGATTCATGTGGATATCATTACTAAAACATAAAGGGGAAGCATTTGAAGCATTTAAGAAGTTCAAGCAATTGGCAGAAAAGGAAGTAACTGGTTAACTGAAGTGTTTCAGGACTGATAGGGGAGTTGGGTTTACCTCTACTGATTTCAAGAAATATTGTGAAGATAAAGGAATAAAAAGACACTATACTGCCCCATATTCACCTCAACAAAATGGGGTAGTGGAAAGAAGAAATCAGACCATCATGTGAATGATAAGAAGTTTATTGAAAAATAAAGATATTCCAGGAAAATATTGGGGTGAGGCTGTGAGAACCTCAGTGTACTTACTGAATAGAGCACCAACCAAAAGTGTGGAAGGAATGACACCATATCAAGCTTGGTATGACAGGGTGCCTAATGTAAATCATTTGCTTGTATTTCGATGCCTAGCCCATGTGAGGATTGCTACACCTCATCCAACCAAACTAGCAAGCAGAAGCATCAAATGTGTGTTGCTTGGATATGAAGAAGGAACAGAGGCTTATAGGTTACCTGATCCAGTCAAAGGTAAGGGACTTGTAAGCAGAGATGTAATTTGTGAAGAAGACAAAAGATGGACTTGGAAAGAGCATCAAGACCAGGAAAACAATAGTGAAAATACTTTCACTATAGCTGTAAGGGAAGATGGAGGAGATAATGAATTTCAGGAGGAAGATATGGACACATCTGCATCATCTTCATCACATAGTTCACCTTTGAGTACACCAAGATCAAGTAGCAGATCTAGTTCTACAGAACACCCACACTTCAGATCACTACAAGAGATATATGATGCAACAAGAGAAGTAAGTGAGGAAGCAGGTTTGTGCTTTCTATCTATTAAGGAACCAACTAACTATGCTAAGGCTGTTTGAAATAAAAATTGGAGGGATGCAATGGCATTGGAAATTGATTCAATTCAAAAGAATGGAAACCTGGGAACTAACTGACTTGCCTAAGGGAGTGTTTGCGAATGCTTGTGCTTTTTAAAAGTGATTTTTTAAGAGATTATTGAAAAGGTGATTTGTAGTAAAAGTTGGTAGTGTTTGGGAATAGAAGTAACTTTAATTTAAAGGTAAAAGTTGGAGTGTTTGGGAAAAAAGTGATTTTTGATGTAATATTTGGTTAATGACAAAAATGCCTTTGCTATCTCCATTTACTACACAAGAGCCATTCGGCCATGAGGCAGCATGGTCTAACAGGCCGCAGGGAATCAGGGGAGGGGAGGGTAGTTTTGGTTTAGTAAAATATTTGATCTAATAACAATACCCAAAGTTGGGAGTATTTACATAAATACCAATAAGCTGATAAAAGCACCCCCCAAGCATGCTTTGAACTTTTGACTTATAAGTGCTTCAATTTAATCTAAAAGTTCGGTATACAAACACCATTTTTGACTTTTCATTACAAAAAAAAGTCAAAAACACTTTTGTTTAGAGCTTGCAAACACTCCCTAAGTCACATAAAGCAATAGGTTTGAAGTGGATCTTCAAACTGAAAGAGAATCCAGAAGGAAAGATTATCAAGCATAAAGCAAGATTGGTTGCTAAAGGATATGTCCAAAAGTATGCGATTGATTATAAGGAGGTCTTTGCTCTAGTGGCTAGACCGGAAACAGTAAGACTCCTACATTCACTCTCAGCACATAGAGACTGGGAAGTTCATCACCTTGATGTCAAAACAACCTTCCTTAATGGTGATTTGAGGGAAGAGGTGTATATTTTGCAACCTGAAGTCTATATTGACAAAGTGAATCCAAACAAGGTGTTGAAACTGCATAAAGCTTTGTATGGCTTAAAATAGGCTCCAAGAGCCTAGATTGAGAAACATGACAGGTGCTTGAAGTCCCAAGGGTTCAACAGATGCATTTTTGAATACTCTGTGTACATGAAGAAAGTTGGAACTGATGTCACAGTTGTAGGGGTTTATGTGGATGATTTGATTCTCACAGGTTCAAGTTCTAAACTCATTCTTGATTTTAAAAAGGAGATGATGATGATATTTGAAATGAGTGATTTAGGGCCTCTGTGTTACTATTTGGGAATTGAAGTGAAGCAGGATTCAGAAGCCATAACTCTATGTCAGTCAGGATATGCAAGAAAAATTCTTGAAAAGGTCGGAATGGCAAATTGTAATCAATGCAGCATACCAATGGAATCAAGGAGTAAGTTCAGCAAATATGATGAAGTACCGGCCATCAGTTGATCCCACCCTATATAGTAGCACCATTGGGAGTCTAAGGTACCTAGTAAATACACGTCTAGACCTTGCATTCTCAGTTGGCATTATGAGCAGGTACATGGAAGCACCCACTACCACACATATGACTACAGTAAAGCAAATTCTTAGGTACATACAGGGGACTATCAATATGGGGTGTGTATACAAAAAGGGACAAGACAAAGAGGAGTTGATTAGATATACTGATAGTGACCTTGCCGGTGACATGGATGACAGGAAAAGCACTACCGGGACCATATTTTTCTTAGGAAATAGCCCAATCACTTGGGTGTCACAAAAACAGAAAATTGTGGCTTTATCATCATGTGAGGCTGAGTATATTGCAGCCACTGGAGGTGCTTGTCAAGCAATCTGACTCACAAAGTTGATTGAGAGTCTAAGGGGGAAAACTAAGGTGAAGCCAATTCTCAAAGTAGATAACAAGTCTGCCATTGCTTTAGCAACAAATCCGGTGTATCATGAAAGGAGCAAGCACATAGACACGAAATTTCATTTTATACGGGAGTGTGTTGAGAGTGAAGTGTTGAAGTTGGAATATACAAGAACAGAAACTCAATTGGCAGATATTTTGACTAAACCTCTTAGGAAGCAAAGGTTCAGTGAGCTGCTAAACAAAATTGGAATGAAGACTATTAAGGAATAATCAAGTTTACGGGGGAGAATGTTTACGTTAAAATTGATTATTTCCTTAGTCAGCATTTAGGTTTTTCTTTATTATTTTTTCTTTTGGTAGTTATCTTTGTAAATACACGTCTGCATGGCAAACCCTCACGTCACACACTACTCCCTCCATGTTCCTCCCATGATCTTTTAGTTTTTATCACAAACTGGTGCACTCTTCTTTCGTTTAAGTATAAGATGTTGGTATGGGTTTTTTCATCCATTCTTGTAATGGGATTTCCCCCCAAATTTATAAAGAAGCAAAGCAGTTACTATCTACGTTCGTATACTTACATGTTCATATGTGTGAATGTTTCATGATGAGTGTTGTAAATATGTTGCATGTGTTCCTAGTTTAAAGTTGTTCGTGGTTGATTTATTCCTGGTGAAGCTAACACGTCAAGCTCTGGTCATAATTGCTCTTTAGAGCCTCGGGATGGGAACTCTTAAGTGAGGAATCCATATATGGCTTATTTCATTTAAAGTTGCTCCTATGAAAGAAGCGGAGCTATTTGATATTGTGAGGTCCCTCATTGGAGGTGGCCGTGTTATACTGTTATAGTGTGTTCCTCGTGAAAATCACCGGCACCACCCATCCTCATTCTGATTCTTTAGGATCCAACTCCGTTCTTTAGAGCGTGGTTTTCGTCTTTCAGTTCCCTTTTCTTCTGGGGTGATCCGATGTAATACCTAATGATATCCCTGGACAAAAAATGTTTATCGACCATTTCTCTCCATTTCCCTTCGAGACCTGTTGTGCTCCTCTCACATCTGAGTAATAAAGACATTGTGTTTGTTTCTATAAGACAATAATCAATTGAGGAACAAGTGGATATGGATATCTGGCCTGACTAGGCATGGATCCGTCACGGTTGCAGGTCAATTTTGGCCATGAACTGGCCGGTCATGGGATTGGATGTGTTGAGCATAGACTAATGTTGGTCATTCCAGTTCCAGTCCCCAAGCTGGTCTCATTTTTGAATTTTTTATTTGTTCTTAAACCTCTTGATGAGTCTTGACCCATTTCCCACCCCTTTTAGCTCTTTAATATATGTACATTAGTATTTAAATGTTTCTAATGCTTGTAATGTAAAAGAAATATTTATAAGGCCGGATAGGGACCGTCACGGCGTCACCCACTGACCATTAACTGTCTCCTCAGAACTGGTCTCCTAATTGAACCGGGAAACTGGTTCTAGTATGGTCCTGAGAACCAGCTGGTTTCAATTATGACCAGTCCAAGACAAGTGAACCCGTCCACCCTTAATCCCGGCCCTTCTTAGACTACATCTGCTTCCAATGGACTGCTTTCCTCAAGAAGTATGGAGTATGAAGTCGTGCCGACTAGCCCAAAGTTGCAATAAAATGCAGGCAAGTCAGTGAGTACGGTAAGTCAATTTCATCTCTACACTAATCACATTACTTTCTTAGGGCAGATAAGGGCCCTCTAATATTTACCCAACAATATGAAACTAAGTAACAACGAAGTTTTGACTAAATGTAGAATCATACGGATTAATATTTTACTCCATAATACTCAATACATAAAACAAGTGATTAATTAGTAGGTTACATTTACACATGGGCAGATCCAGGAAATTCATCTTGGAAGGACGGTAATTTAAACAAAATACTTTTTGAGAGGGCGAAAATTATTTTTTGTATATGTATACACACACAAAAAAATTGTTGGGGGGCGATAACCCCTGAATTTCTACTACGGTCCGCCCTACATTGACACTCGTGAGCATCTCCAATGGTAAAATGTGCACGGTGCACACGTGGCATGAGAAATATCCACATAAATATTAGTAAATAAATTCTTTCTCTCCTTATTTGAATGATTTTATACATTTTTGGTAAGTTATTCTCCACAATGTCAAGGAGACCGTCTAAATGTTGACATTGTTGTTGACATTGCACGGAAAAACTTACCAAAATTGTATAAAATCATTCAAATGAGGAGATAAATAATTTATATGCTAATATTTATGTGGCTATCAGCCTATCACTCATGGCACATGTGCACCGTGCACATTATAACATTGGAAATGCTCTTATACCAAAGAAAAAGGAGAAATTTGCAATTATAAACAACTTGCAAATGATTTAAAAAGGGGCTATGTATGAAACGACATGAGAAAATTAAATACAAGCTCAGTTACATGATTTAAGAAGTTAGGGTTATTCGACTAGCCACAGTTATAGTTATGGTTACCCAATCCAATATAGTAACCCCTGGCGGCCACTACCAGTCAATAATCAGCCTGCCGCAACCCCACTCAGGCAGCCAGCCTGCCCAGCCCCATACCCTGTGTGGCTCCTCAGCCCCCTCTCTAGCCTCCCCCAATTGGTATCATATGTGTCGTTTTTTCAAATGAAAAAACGGATGGTGTGAGTCAAAGCCAGAGGGCACCCGCCTTTATAAGCAGAGGCACCAAATCGCCGGAGATATGAGCCGCCATAACGTCATCCAAGCCACCAAAAAGCTTCCCGCCGATGAAAACTGCCGGAAACAGCGGCAGCTGGGCGGAATTATCTTCCGTGCAGCTGATAACACCAGAAAGCTGGTCGGTGACGGAGACCTCGTCCTCCTCATCGACGTCGTAAATGGCGGGATTCACGCCGAGGCCTAAGAGCAAACGCTGCAAGACGTAGCACATGCAGCAACCGCGCCGGCCGAACACCATGATCGCATTCTCCGACACCATGTGCGCCGCCGACACAACGGCGGCGTAATCGTTGCTGCCGCCGCAGCTGGAAATGGATGAGGCGTCGCTCGAGGTAGCGCCGAAGTCATTCATTGAAAGCGCCGGTGAGAAGTGATATTTCATGGCTGGAATTCGGATAGAAGAGGTGCTCTGTATTTGTGTATTTCTGCTTTTGTGGGATCGAGCAAGTGGCGTTTATATACGACGGCGGGGGATGTGCGCGACAAGGAGATTGTACAATTTTGGGCCTGACGTAAGGGTATATGTCATTCTATTGCTATCTTATATACGGAGTATGGCCTACTTTATAATAAAAGCAAAAGAATTCATTACAGAAACATTATTACACATTTTTTTTTACATATGAGTACTTCCTCCGCTCCATTACGCTTTGCTAAAATTTTTATTTATTAAAGTAACTAATTTGTGGTTCTGCTCAATTCTGTCTATTCTGTACAAATTTCGATCACATAATTTTTATTTATATTATTTTTCACCTACTTTGAACTTGGCAGAATCCATGCACTGGAGCGGACATAATTTAATATTACTACTCCCATCGTCCCATTTAAAGTTCTGTCTCCGTTTATGAAGTTTGACTGATAATAAAAGTTAAATGAGCCTGGCCTATTAACAATTTGTGTTGATGTGAAAATGGTGAACGTGAATCTCTATGTGGAACGAAGATATTATCATACAATTGTGGCTGGGTTAGGGGTGGGCAAGAGAGATGACGGTTGTAGGCGTTCAAAATTAGAAAAGCATTAAATCTAGAGAAAAAATACAAATATACCCCTGTAATATGAATGTGAGAACAAATATATCCCTGTTCTATTTTTCGGAACAAATATACCCCTGAAGTTTATGTGGAAGTGCATATATACCCCTAAACTTTTTAAAAAGTGCAAAATACCCATCATATTCTTATAAAGGAGAAAATATACCCTTATTGACTTTAAATTGATAAAATAAATTTTGAAAACACCAAAGATAAATTATAAATTCAAAATTTATAAATAAAAAAATTTAAAAAATGTATGTGTCCAATTCTCCCTTTCATTGTTTGTATATCACATTTTAATATTGTTAGTATAGAATATTTTTTCTAAACGTTACTATATATATATATATTAAAGATTCTTTCGAAAAAAGTGTTAACATATGTGTTCCAATGTAAAAAGATATTAAATTTTTGCATTGTTTGCACTATAAAATTAAATATTTTATATGATGACAAAAAGTTCAAGATTACCGTATAGTGAATTTAATTTTATTAAGTTTAAACAAAATCAAAGAATGTTATTTCAAAAAAATATAACAATGTGTTCAAAATTTCACAACAAGATTAAAATTAATATTTATGAATTTGAAGTGCCTTATTTACAACAGAAAAATAATAATTTTTCAATTTAAAATTAAAGAGTTAATATTTTAACATAATAATAAATATTTATTTTTAAATTTTGAATTTATATTTTTGGTGCTTTTTGAAATTTATTTTATCTATTTAAAAGTCAATAAGAGTAAATTTGCTTCTTTATAAGAACATTAGGGGTATTTTTCACTTTTTAAAAGTTTGGGGTATATATGCACCTGAATATATACTTAAGGGGTAAATTTGTTCTGAAAAATAGAACATGAGTATATTTGTTATCACACACATAATACATGAGTATATTTGTACCTTTTCCCTTAAATCAATAATGTTCTTTATATTTTATTTGGATGGGTACTCCACCAAATTGTATCTGTGACGTTTTGTCCTTTGATTTGATTAATGCCAATTAATATATTGGGAAAAGGGGCAAATAAGCCCTCGAACTAATAAAAAAAGTGCAAATAAGCCCTTTTGTAGGAGGTTCCATCCAGTCATCGTCATTTGGGGAGGTTCACGGTGGAATTTTTTGATGTAATTTTTTGAGCATCTTATTCATTAAGTCTAGTTTAGTCCTACTGAATTTCAGCTAAAAATTCAACCAGGAAGACAGTCAAATGAATTTTTGAAGATAAGTGCGCAGTTAAACCACACAGTATATTTCCGAAAATCATTTGAGTACTTTCCCGGTTGAATTTTTATCTGAAATTCGATATGGCTAAACTAGACTTAATGAAGAAAATGCTCAAAAAAATTCATCAAAAAATTCCACCGAGATCCTCCCCAAATGACGATGATCGGACAGAACCTCCTACAAAAGGACTTATTTGCACTTTTTTTATTAGTTCGAGGGCTTATTTGTCTCTTTTCCCTTAATATATTTCCTTCCGATGCAAAACAATGTTCTTCATACTTTATACTCTCACATTCGTAAACTCAAATTTTTAAGCTATTACGATTTCGGTAGTAATTTAGTCAATATTAATTTTTTGTAAACAATCTTTATTTTATACAACTATTTCGTGTTAATTTGTTTAATTAATCTTATACATAGTATATTTTCTGGAGCAAAACTATTATGAGCCGTGAGACTGCAGGTAAAGAGCGAGAGAACCCGGTTTTCTAAGCCGACCAGATCCCCGGGGATTGACTATTGAGCCGCGAAAACCTTGTCCAGGTCACTAATTCCTTGGTTGAAATTGGGAGAGACGTGTTTCTGGGATCGATTTGCGTTTACATTGCTAATTTGCTATACTTAATGGCTGACGAAAGCGTATACGTCATAGCATGGGATTTTCTGGTCCCGACATTTGTGGGGGTATATCATCAAAGCAAAACCATTTGCTAAAATTAAAAAAAAAATATCACTACATTTAATTTTACAGATAGGTTTGCAGTCTTGGTTATTTGACCATACAAAAGTACTTCGTATACAACTACGCGTCTAGGCCGGCCTTCGTGACGTCAATAGTGACGACAGCACTAAGTGATTTTATTGAGAAAAAATAAAGAAAAATGTGTTTCTACCAACTTCTCAAATCCACCCTTATTGCCACCACCATGAGAGGATGTTTTTTTGTCTGAGAATCTCAATCACAGACAAAACGGACATTTTTGTTTGTGAATCTTGCTCACAGACAAAACAAATACTTCGTATATTTTTCTGTGATAATTACCACTGACAGAAATACATCTGCATTGTCTCTGAATGGGATTCACAAACAAAAACATAGTCTTTCACAGACGTGAGTATAAGAGTAAGTTAAAATAGCAAAGTTGAAAATCAAATCAACAATTTTGCCTTTTGTATAATATATGATATAGAGTATGATACTAGTACACAATATTCCAAAATGCGGGGCCTAGGGACGTCTAGGCGTGACGCGATGGAAAACACCTTTGGAAGGTAGAAAGATGCGATTAAGGTGCTCAATTGAAGAATTGAACATCAAAGGCGTAAATATACATAACTCTAGGCGGGAAAGGCGATGCCTATGCAAGAAATGACGAAAGTTTTTATATGAATTCTTTTTTACAAAAAATATTACTCCTTCAGTTCCATTTTGTAAGATACTTTTCCTATTCACTTGGTCAACACAAATCAGTCTTAATGTCTTATTATATATATATATCAATTTTTTTTATCAAATTTGATTCTGTTTTTTTTAACTTTGTAAAACTTTTAATGTAGTTTCTGAATACGTAATCCTTTTTTTCTAAAAATAATTTGAGTTCGGACAGAGATCTGTTTGCTTTATCGTCGGTCAAACATCGTAAACCATAAAGTCTATTACAATTTGAGAGAGTATAAAATTTTAAGAAATCACTTTTATAAACATGTTATGCGGAGTATATGAAATCTAATATGGAGTTATAAAAAGCAACAACAAAATAAAAACCAACACAATATCATTTAATGTTTCCACTTTTATGTATCTAAGAAATAAGAATTGTATGGTAAGGATGTAACCGTAAGGAGTTACATTTTTGGAAATTAAAGAAAAACTCATTTTTTGTCAAATATCCAGTTTTTAAATAGAGAGGATTCCCTAAACATTTGTCAAAATAGGAGTATAATGTTTTTTTTATTCTCTTAATAGGAGTAGATTTCTGCCAAGTTTGACATTACAAGGTTTTAAACATGATACTCTTATTTTGGAATTTCAAAACGTTTTTACTCCTATTAATGGCAATTGCTGTTTTAAATATATAGTATTGATCGAGGTAATTTTTAAGAAAATACGTAATAGTATTGAGGTTTAAAACCCAACCTTTATTCCAATTTGCAATACATGAAGCTAAACTGCTAAAGTTGCATTGATGATTAATCATTAATGTACACCTGCAAATTATTTGAGGGTTTTTTATAAGGATCGAAGATGATTATAACAAGTTCAATACATACAAGGTTACATTTTTTCTTTTGTTTATTACTACGTATTAATTCAAGGGACCTTTACAAAACTAAAGGAAGAAAATGAAAAAGAAACACGGAGTAAAAGTCAAAGCCAGAGGGCACCGGCTTTTATCAGCAACGGCACCAGATCGCCGTTGATGTGAGTGGCCATAACGTTGTCCAACCCACCAAAAAACTTCCCGCCGATGAAAACTGCAGGAAGCGGCGGCGGCAGCTGGGCGGTGTAATCTTCAGTGCAGCTGATAAACCGGGAAAGCTGGTAGGTGACGGCGACCTCCTCCTCCTCATCGACGTCGTAAATGGTGGGGTTAGCGCCGAGGCCTAAGAGCAACTGCCGAACAACATAGCTCATGCAGCAACCGCGGCGGCCGAAAACGATGATCGCATTCTCCGACACAAAGTTGCCAAATCTGGTGAGCTCCGCCGCTTCAACGAGTGCGTAATCGCTGCCGCCGCTGCTGGAATTGGATGTCCCATCGCTCGAGGTGGTGCCGGAGTAATTCATTGAAGGCGTTGATATATATTGACGGCGTTTCGTGGTTGAAAGTCGGAGAAAGGTAAACTGTAATAATTCGGAGATCTGTTTCTGAGATGGAGTGGCGTGTACATCGTTATAAATAACGGAATAAAGTTTGCAAGACTTTGAGGATTATACAGTCATAACTGACGTATATGTGTAGGTCATGTCTTTGGTATCTTCATCTTCATGTCATCATGTGTTTGAAAATTTAGAAATTGAAAAACTAAAAAATCGAAAAAAATTAAATAAAAAAATAAAAAAATTAAAAATAAATAAATAAATAATAATTAAAATTAGAACGATAAAAAATAAAAGAATATTAAAAGCACAGAGTAATATTTAGATTCGTTACATTTATCTAGCTTTGTTAACAAATTATCAAATAAGGGTATATTAGAAAACTCATCATAAAAAATCTTTCTTCCTTTTCATCTAACCAAACACAAATGTTTAACATGCAAAATCTTTCTTCACTCTCTTCCTTGCCTTCTGGGCTCTCTCCTTCCCTCCTTTGACAAAACATGAACTAAGGACTAATTTAATATAATACTACCTCCGTCCCGCTAAGATTGTCCCATTTTACCATTTCGGTCTGTCCCACAAAGATTGTCCCATACCAAATTTGGCAAAGTTTGTGTGGCTCTAAATCATTCATACTTTATTCTTACTTTATCAATTCAATATCAACCACATAAACCACTTTTTATTAATTTGCGTGTCACTCCCTCTTGTCCCATTGTTAGTGGGACGGAGGGAGTAGTCCATTAGGTGACCCTATTTTCGCGTTTTTGAGGCTTATAATTTTGCGCACTAAATTGTGTAGTAATAAGAAAACAAAAAGTTGAATTTATTTTTCTGACTGTATTGGCTGGACTTACTCTAGAGAATTATTTTAGCTATTTTTTATGTAATGTTTTAATTTATTTTATTCATAAAATACATTCAGCTAAAAAATAAAATAAAATACAAAATTGGCTCTAAATTTATAAATAAATTTGTAAAAAAAATTGATCTCGTGTCTTTTTCTTTAATAATTTGGAATCAGGTTAACTTTGGAGTAACATGTAAAATATCACACACTAGGATGTTTTCTTTTGGACTGTTTTCAGACCAGATCGGATCAGACCAGACCAGATCAAACCAAACCAAACAAGACTCCCCTAGTTATAAAATACACAGAGACCAGACACTTATCAGACTAGATCAAATCATTTCAGACCAGACCAAACCAGCAAATTTCAGTCCAAAAGAAAACGTCATAATCCAACACTCGATCGTCTCTTTCATGTCTTTCCTTGATCTCTATCTTCCGATGGGATATGTATACTCCGTAGTTCGTATGTTTATCCCGTCTCTCTATTCTGTGCGTGCGTAATGGGTATTGCTCTACATCATTACTAATATTGTTCACTTTTTTGATGATTCAGTTTTTATTTTTTCTTTTTAGAGTGTAGGGTCTAGGGTGTAGGGTCTAGGGTGTGGGTCTAGGGTGTAGGGTGTTTGGGAACACGAAAATTGGCTGTTTTGGCTGATTCTACTGAATTTTATAAATTTCTGGCTGAAGTGGCTGCATTGGATGATTCTGCTGATTTAAGAAAAAACTATTGCTAAAATATATTTTATTAATAAAATAAAGAAAAAATGATATGTAAAAATAGCTAAAATGGTCATCTGCAGTAACTTCAGCCAATACAACCAGAAAAGTATTTTCAACCTTACTTTTTCTGCTTATTACACAATTCAGCGCACAAAAGCAAAAATTACGTGTTTGGTGAAAAAGTTGACTGATAAACTGATAAGCAAAAACACTGTATTGTCAAACGGCCTCTTAATTGTTATTGATTTTATTCGATTTTCCTAACAATTAATATTACCTTTTTACAAGGGTGAATTTTCTAAATAGGAGTAAAAACGTTTTGAAATTCTAAAATAGGACTATCATGTTTTTATTCCCTAAATAGGAGTAAATTTCTGCCAAGTTTGGAATTACTAGGCTTTAAACACGGCATTTTTTTTCTAAATTTGACAGATTACTTCTATTTAGAGAATAAAAAACATGATAGTCCTATTTTGAAATTTCAAAACGTTTTTACTCTTAGTTGTGACTATTTCTATTTTTACAATCTGGTTATGATGTGATTACGGTTGATTCGTACATTGATTTGATCCGCAACTTGAGAATTACGGTTGTGGCGGTCTCACCGGATCGGCGGCAATAGCCCAAATGGAGGATGTGGAGTCCCTGGGTGAAGATATACTAGAAATCCCTTTAATTAATCTTTTTAAGTTTATTAGATCTTGAAATCATTAACAACAATTTTGTCAACCCATTGACTATGTTTTTAACTAAAATTACTGCAATAAATTACTGAAATAAACACTATTTGTTTGAACACGGAAAACAAATCAACCAAAGGTGGGGTAAATATTGGAGAATATTTATGGAACTTTTTTAAATCTAGAGGAAGCCATACAAAAAGAGATGGAGGCTAGACAAAAACTTCTCCGAAGGAGGTATACCTCATGGAGATACAAATCATACAATTAAAGAACAAAAGATAAAAAAAGTGAGTCACCAGTGAGCCGAATTCTCGTGCACACAAATATAAGGCCTACCGCTATTGGTCTGATAGAGTCACCGTGATTTGCATCCTCCCATATGCCTTGTCCGATCGGGGCGTGCTAAAAATGAATATACCCAGTACAATATTTCTTTTGTCTCAATCTAATAGATTCTCAATTTTTTCTGGATATCCCAACATAAAAGTTCTCATATAATCAATTAACACTCAAATTCATAAAATCATAGTTTATCATCAATGGTGACTCGATTATACTACCTCCGTCCCGAATTGATTTGCAAATTTGATTTTTCTCGATCAAACAACTTTTTTTTTTGCTAAATTAGGATGTCAATTTTTAATTATATTCTAATTTGGAGTTTGCAACTTTGAAGAGATTTTACTGTAGTTTTTGAATATGTCAATTTTAATTAATAAAAATTGACTTAATTATCGATTGGAAGGGTTGATTTTTATTATTGTTGACCAAAAAATGTTGACTTTGCAAAACAATTTGGGACAGAGAGAGTATTATATAATCATCAAAATTATTTCTCAAAACATACTCGAAATACTTTATTTAATTATTATCTAAATAATCGTGTCATTTTGCAATTGAAATTTTTAAACGAAGTTGGGACAATACTATAATTTTTTTGATCATTTTCTAATTTGATATAATGTGATTTGGATTTTTCAGATTTGATCCGAATAGAATGTGAATAAATAATACGAGTAAGGAATACAAATAAGACAAACCACTCTTGAGTCAATAGAAAAAAGAGAAGAAGTTGCTTGATATTCAGGATGTTTTTACTTGGACTGTAATTTGCTGGTCTGGTCTGGTCTGGTCTGGTCTGAACTGGTCTGGTCTGGTCTAGTAAGGTCTGGTTTCTTTGTATTTTTATAACTATCCAAGTCTGATCTGGTCTGGTCTGGTCTGAACTGGTCTGGTCTGGTCTGGACTGGTCTGGTCTGGTCTGGTCTGATCTGGTCTGGGACAAATTACAGTCCAAGTAAAAACATCCTCAATTGCAAATTGTACAAGGACGGGGGTCTATTAAAGGATCTACGAAAATTAAATACAAGTTGAATGCATTTTGTTCTATACTCCATACATTTTTATTAAAGGAAAAAAATATAAAAAAAATAGAGTACGAGCTAGTCAAAGCCAGAGGGCACCCGCTTTTAAAAGCTGAGGCACCAAATCGCCGGAGATATGAGCCGACATAACGTTGTCCAACCCACAAAAAAACTTCCCGCCAATGAAAACTGCCGGAAGCGTCGGCAGCTGGGCAGCACGATCTTCAGTGCAGCTGATAAACCGGGAAAGCTGGTAGGTGACGGTGACCTCGTCCTCCTCATCGACGTCGTAAATGGTGGGGTTGGCGCTGAGGCCTAAGAGCAACTGCCGCACGACGTAGAGCTCATGCAGCAACCGCGTCCGCCGAAAATGATAATGGCATTTTCGGACACAATGTTGCCGAACCTGGTGAGCGCCGCCGCTTCAACGAGTGCGTAATCGCTGTCGCCGCTGCTGGAATTGGATGTCCCGTCGCTCGAGGTGGTGCCGGAGTAATTCATTGAAGGTTTTTATTTATATTGACGGCGTTTCACGGTTGAAAGTTGGAGAAAGGAAAACTGTATTTCGAAAAAAAGGATGACACCCTATCCCTGAGGGGCCCCCAACACTGACCGGACGGCACGATATGAGGATGTAAATTCGACTATAATCACAATCTGACAAATAGAGAGTGAGGCTCTGTCCCCGGTACTTAATTGCAGAAGACCTATGCATTTTTCAGCATAGTAACCCCTCATTGCAGTTGCCGCAATTCGAACCCGAGACTTAACCCTTGTGGTACTCCCTCGCTACCAGTTGAGCGGCGCTCTAGGATCGAGTGGCGTGTACATCATTATAAATAACGGAATAAAGTTTGAGATAGTTTGGATATCGTATTGTCATATCTGACGTATGTGTGTAGGTCATGCCTTTTGGTATCTTCAGGTCCAGATATAAAAAATACGGTGTAAAAAATTACTTGGTATTCCAAAAATTGAGAAATTGAAAAACTAAAAAATTGAAAGGCAAAAAAAATTAAAAAATAAAATAAAAACTTGTACAGAGTAATACTCGTAATATTTAGGCAAGCTACATTTATCTAGGTTTGCAAAACAAGTTATCCAATACTTTCTCCGTCCCGCAAAATAGTTTCCGGTTTCCTTTTTTTGCCGTCCCAAAAAATAGTTCCCATTTCCCCTTTTGGAAAATTTTTTGTGGCTATCATTCATTTACCTTTTTCTTACTTAATCACAACTACACATTTTCACTTTATTCTCTCTTTCTTAAACTCCGATCCAAGTCAATGTCAGAACAATTTTATGGGACAGAGGGAGTACTTCATAAGGGTAAATTAAAAATTCAACATATTAATTTTTTTCTTCCTTTTCGTCAAACCAAACTTAAATGTTTAATAAAATCCTTCTTTCGTCATCC